ATTTTTTAAATGCAACACATCAAACTTGGATGAGATTCAATTGTAAGCTTAGATTTGGTCACATTTTCTAAGGGAACGGCATGTCACTGATGAGTATTTCGAGGCCCATCAGAAAGTGGAAAATTGAACAGTTCTTCCTGTTTTTACAGTTGGTAGCCACAATACACTGTGCAACCTTAGCAGGCTTTTTAAAAAAGTCAACATACCTTTCAAGCATGCAGAGAGGTTTGTGGCTCAGAGGGGTAATAACCAATAACAACGCGACATCACTCACTTGACCAAACGACTCATTTCTGCATAAGGACATCAGTCAAATAACGAAGCAAAGGCTTCATTACTTGCTGCACTTAAACAATTAAATATGCATCCCAGTGGAGTTTCTGCAGATGCGTTCATATCAGGGAGAATACTCAAGTGGACTCTACTATATCAAAAAATATTGTGCTCAGCTGACCTTGAAGAGAAATTTGATTTATCTTTGATTGGCTCAGATATTGTTTTAATTTATGCCTTTTACACAAGGCTGACAAGGTGTGCAGGTGGTGTGACAATACAGTGACAGATAGAAATGTGTGGAAGTGACACTTACACATTGAAGCCCACATGGGAGTTTTCAGGTAGAGTTGCCATATTGGGAGGCGAGGGCGTGGTATCCCTGCACAAAACCAAAGACCAAGTCAGTAATAGTAGCACAACTCAGCATTACCTTTGAGGACTTTTACCAACAAATGCCAAACACTTAAATATTTAAAATGGCGACAAGAAAGAAAGAAAATATTTCACTGGTTATAAACTCATCTCTGCATATCAAAGTTAAATACTAAGAAGATTTTTTCATCACCTCCTACTTTAGACTAACTCTAATGCACAGATCTACACAGTCTTTCCCTCCACTCAAACTTTCCCAGTTGTGGCAGCTCAAGCACACCAGCTCATTTGTGACTAAATGCTGTCACACTACTCTGAGCTACACAATGGCAACTTGTACTCCTGGAGTGATTCAGTCATACATGTTCAAACTGGAAACCAATTCTGAAGAAATATAATGATACAGATATTCCCACCCTGCAAGATGACAGAGTTGGTTTCTTCCGTTTTGCTACATATGAATCCCTGAATACGTGTTTTTGACTGCTGATTGACATGCGTCTTCTAGTATATAAAAAAAACCCACCATTTGGCCATGTTAACAAGGTATAAAGCTTGATTCTCATTGTCTGGGGTATTTAAACACAAGTGGAGGTTCTCTATTACAAAATGCGTGCATACAACTGCACAGGTACTTGGTCAAGATCCACAAGCTTACCAGATATTTTCTGCTGAAATACAGTGAATAAAATAAACCTTGTTCACGACAGTGTTGTCCCAGAAGGTAAATTTCCAGGTGGAGTTAATAATACTGATGTAAGTTAGTTTAGTGCATCACAGTAAACTAGGATGTCCAACAGCAGAAGCTCCAGAGGTCATTAATAAAGCCATGCTTTACTTGCTAGGAATGGTTTCTGCCATCTATGTTGGACCATAGACTGTATGCAAAAAACAGTCTGAAAAGGGAAACTATTTGCGGAATTGCCTTAAACCTGCAGTTTCTTGTAATGGACAGCAGGGGGCGACTCCTGTATTTACAAAAATAAGTCTCATTCTATAGAAGTCTATGAGAAAATTACCTTTTTTCTTACTGAATGTATTACCTAAGTAAATATTTTTCTAATGAGTTCATAATCTTAATTGCTAGTTCCAAGTCTCCTTCAATACAGCATGGTGTTCATTTTGTACGTTTTTTTGCCACATTTGGAAGAAAATAAACGATAAATCAGGGTGTGTTTTAGGACGAACACATGGTTGACAACTCACTACCTCTCAGTCAGCATAGAGGTGGAGTCATGGCACCATGTACATTCAGGTAGCCATTAACTTGTTTAGAACTTTGACCCATTCGTAGTGTGTTTTCAGGTAATGTCACATTTTCAGTGAAATTTACAACTATGGATGCTCTTAGCTTAACAAGCCCGTTAGTTAGCGCTAGCATTATTGACTGAGAAACCAGCACCGTTCTCTTGTGCAAATATGGTCACATCTAGTTCAAACAACAAAAACAAAATGGCCAAATTCTAAACTCGAGGCCTCAAAACTGCAGTCCACTAACTTCACACTGGCTGCGTTCGTCTTTTATGTTTAGTCAGTGTGTTGGATATAGAACAGGTGCATGTCTATCAATGTAATAATTGCGTCAAAAATGTTAGGTGCAGGTTCGACCAGTGAAATATAGCTGTAGTGAGATATAAAATGGCAAATGCTATCAAACATAACAGACGAACACTTTATAAATCCATCGGGCTGATTGCAGAGAATTCAGAGTATTGGAGTGTTGGGATACCATTGCGCGATACTTTTATGCTTTCATCTGAAAGGTCAGAGGTCAGCATTTCTATTTTTTTGTCCCAAATGATGGAATTTTCAACATTTCTTTTAACTATCCTAAAGGTTCCGTGGGCATCCTTGAGGTGACAGTCAAACCTAAATGTGCAGACATAAATAGTGTAAATGCTCTAGGTGCAGGACGAATAAAGACAAATGTATAGAAATGATGCTTACACTATGAAGGCACCGGCCTGGTTATCTGGGAGAGGTGCCAAACTAGGACCCAGGGACGACGCATCCCTGCACATAACCCAAGTCCAAGTCAGTAAAGGGAAAATGGAAAAATTTAGCGCAACACATCTATTGCCACAATATGTGCAGACTTTTCAAAACAAAAAATAAACACTGATATATTTAGAAATGATGTAATATGCATAATTAAAAATGTCTGCTTGGATTTCGATATTTCAATTGTTTTACATAGCTTCAGTGAGACACAAAATGAGAAGAATAACAGAGACAAATAAGTAGAAGTGGCACTTACACAGGGAAAACATTGAGAGAGTTTTCAGGGAGAGGAGCCATATTGGGATCCATAAGTGTGGTGTCCCTGAGCACATATGAACAACATTTACAATTTTTCTGTTTTCATTGAAATGACTTTAACTGCATAGTTCAGTGTAATAAATAGCTCCTTACGTGCCGACTTTAGTATGGAGAGACACAGGGATGTAACCCCCGATGCTGGGCGCTGCAGGCTCTGTTTTAAAAAGGAGAAAAAAAAGAAAAAAGATCTGCATCTGTTACACTGCCTGTTTATACCTAAACATAAGAACGCACAGCTGAATCAGTGCACAAAGAGCATTACCTGAGTAGAATTTTTTGAAAACTTCATGTTTGTGAAAGTCAGGATACAGGAATGTGATGTGGTTGATGTCCCGGATGCGGTCACCAAGGCTACGGATCTCGAGATCCCTCTTGGTGAAAGGCTGGATGTTCTGGATTTTCTGTCCCCCATCTAGAAGGAAAAAAATAAAAGGTTTGTCAGTGCAACTGTGGAAGAAAGAAATGGAGTCAAAGAGAGCATCACTGACAAACTGTGATTCTACCCATTAGGACTATTACTTGTTCTTACCATCCACTGCTCCTCCTGTTCGACACTGGCACTATGCAGAAATGTAAAATGTAGGGAAAAAATGGTATTGCTATGAAAAGTTCCAAAAATATCAATTTCTAACATGGATTTGTGGATTAGGACCTTTTCCAAAAGCAATGCTGCATGGTTCAACACCTAAAATATATCTCCCTCTCTTTAAGCTTCTTAACCCCTAGCAGTTTCTGGCTTCTGTCACATTTTTACCTACTGTGGGCTCACTTTTCACTGCTAAATCAATTCCTGCATTTCAATGGAAACAGCACAACTATGGCGAGAAGCAGACAGAATTTGAAAATGTCGTCTGTGCAGCTTACCAGTTGTAATGCCATAAATCATGAAAGAAGACAAAAAAGAAGAACGTAGAATTTCTTTGATTATTTTGCATTGCAAAAATTATTGCAGTGATCTAAAGATCAAAACACTGTTTAAATTTAGGTACAAGATGACGTTGTGTGTTTAAGAGTAAATGACACAGATGCAAAAAGACAGCCTGTATAATTTCCCTGCCGGCGTTGATTTTCCTGGGCGTCTCTTCACACCATCACAGTCGAAACAGGTAAAAGAAGAATTCATAGAAGAAAAAATTCAACTAAACATAATCCAAATCACACTGGTGCCACACTAATACTTACTTTCAGTAGCCGACACATAAGCGATGGTGATGCCTCCGATCTCAGAGTCACTAAAGCGGAGCAGGAACGTCCCATTGGGCCTGTCTTTGAGAATCAGGTGTAGATGTTGCTTCCCAATGAAACCAAATATCAGCCTGGTGGAGCAAAACATCAAAAACACTTGTAATTAAAACAGACTAACACAAGCTGCTGACATTTATTCTTGAAACATCAGTCAGATCATTTTACCCTTCGCTCCAGTAGACCTTTAGGTGTTTCTTGGTTAGTTCCATTACTCCCTCAAACCACTGCCAGAAAGTGAACGGTCGCCCTGGGAGCATCTCCTGTAACGTTGAAAGGCACTGTCAGATTTGTGTGGCAGTCCGTAAAAGTGTGTGCAAGAGGATGTGTGCACACCTTGTTAAACTGGGCCCAGGAAACCATCGTGTTGCTGAAGTCTTCAGCAAAGTCGGGCTTGTCAAATATCTTCTGGGCCAAGAAGTGCTGATTGTAGTTGTCCAGATTATGCTGCGTCTGGACCTCAGAGGTAAATTTACTGTTGAGGGTGCTGTACATCATCCTCCAGGGCACGCGCTCCGGCACCACAAAGGGGACTCTGTCCTGATGGCAACGACAAAAAGGCTCAACACTGATACGCATTTACAAAGATATGAGAGGAAACGAAGTACAAATCCATGATAGTCACGGATGTTGACTTCAGAATGGGTTTGTTTCATCTAAGTGGTTTAGGTGATTCAGTGTGTTTCTCACACACCTCATCTGGCCATTTCCAGTCAGTGCTCGGACTTTGTTTGAAAACAACAACAAACAGGAAATTCATCTAAGGCCACAGACTTTACAGTTGAAACCACAAGTTCAAATACACTGTATGAAAAGACATCCCACCTTTGGTTGTCTCACTGTCTGACATTCAATGTGACTAAATCTTTCCTGTTTTCGGTCAGTCTGTTTATTTTTGCTAAACACCAGAGTAATGAGAGTAAACTGTATGACTTGGGTCAAATGTTTTGGGTTTCCCCCCCACAAGCTTCTCACAATAGCTTACTGGAATTCTGGCCTATTCCTCCCGACAGAACTGGGGTCCATTTCACAATACAGGTTTAGTGAAAACTCTGAGTCTGTTAACCCCGAAATGAGGGAAACTCTGAGTTTTTCGCTTCACAAAGGGAGGTAACTCAAACCTGAGGAAGAGGGGTAACTCTAGCCTGTTTCACAGAGAGAGGTAACTTAAGACCTCGGTCAGTTACTGTAGTAACAGACTCTATGAACCTAACCTAGTTGGGACCAGGTTCTTCTCAATGAACCTCGAGTTTCTCTCTGTCTCCGCCCTCTTTCAGCCACACACGCTATCTGATTTCCTCATTCATTCATTCGGTCACCAGGCGGGTTTTGGCGTAGCCTAGTTCTACAATCTGTCAGAAATTAAAAAAAAAAAAAATCACAGTCAGTTGGCCGTGTTAGAAGTCCATTAGACACAGAGGGAGGCGACTTTCCACTAACATGGCATGTCCTTTTGATAACAATCCCGTGGAGGAAGGTGCAGCATTACTAAGCAGAGAATTAAATATTGATCTGGAAAAGGTTGTTAGACCGCGCACAAGATGTTCTAGCATTTCCAGACAGTTATCTTTTCCAGCGGTACCGTTTCACGTCACAGTCCATCATCTACATACAACCTAATCCGCCCTTACATGTGCAGCATTACCAACCGTAGTCATGCTCTCACATCCCAGCAGATATTGTGTGTTGCGCTGCGCTTCTTTGCAAATGGAAGTTTTTTGTACAATGTCGGAGATGCAGAGCACCTGAGTAAGGCAACTGTATGCAGGGCGGTCAGAAAAGTGTGCCTCACCCTGAATGTAATGTTCTTTCCTCATGATGCCATCTATTCTGTGAAGTGGACCAGTCCCTCCTGCAGAAAAACACCCCCACAACATAATGCTGCCACCCCCATACTTCATCTCTAGGACACAGAACCCGTCGCCTTCCTGAGCAGCATGATGGCTGGACATTCCCATGGGACTTTCATTTACGTATAACTGTTTGAACAGATGAACGTAGAACCTTCAGCCATCTGGAAATTGTTCCCAAGGATCAATCAGACTTGTGGAGGTCCACAATTCTATTCCTGGTATCATGCCTGATTTCTTTAGATGTTCCATGTTGTCACAAAAGGAAGCAGCGTGTTTGAGGTGTGCTTTAAAATACATCCACAGGTGTGCCTCCCATTAACTCAAATGTTGTCAATTAACCTATCAAAATCCTCCAAAGCCATGACATCATCATCTGGGCTTTCCCAAGTAGTTTGAAGGCATAGTAATCTTAGTGTATGTAAACTTCTGACTTTGAAGAAAGTAAAAACAAATTCTCTAAAACAAATTCTCTCTCTCATTATTCTGGCATTTAGCAAATAATAATAATAATAATAATAATAATAATAATAATAATAATAATAATTTTGGTAATGCTAACTGACCTAAAACAGGAAAGTTTAGTCTGATTTAATTTTAGACAGTGAGGAAAAAAGCTTTATGTCCTTTTATCTAGTGTATGTACCTTCTGGTTTCAACTGTATGTGCGCATTAGTGTAAGTCTTCCAAGGAAAAGAAAACAATCATTTTAAACTTACTCGTTCTGAAAATGCACAGTCCCATATGATGGTGGCCACAGCATTGTTGTCTTGGCTGCCGTGAACGATGACGACCACCGGCTGAGAGATCATCTGCAATCAAAGACATCATGTTATGTTTGCTGGACTTCCGTTGCTACTGATGTTTATTTTAAACCACAAAAATTTAGCTCAGTCAATGTGAAAGAGGAATAAAATATCTTCAAGGCTTATTCCTCACATGTTTCTGAGAAACAGGATGTACATAACAGTTTAAAATTAGGCAGAACAATAGAGTCTCGAACCTGTATCCTGTAAGGAGTGTCACACCCTGTGATGGTGATCTCTGTGGAGAACAAAAGCGCAAATTTCTCCTCTGTCACAGACTCTGATCCTTTTCTGTCTGCTCTCTTGATTTTCTTGATGGACTGTTGAATCACGATACGAGTTTAAATTAGTTAACGAGGCAGAACAATGATTAGATATGGGGCAGTTAATGAAGAGCAGCACCTACCATGTTTCTGAAGGTGGCACATGTGCTCTTGCTGGCTGTGTTGTGTTCAAGGATGGCCGAGTTGTTGATCAGTTCCCCAACGTTATCGCTGCAGGAGTTATAGTTTCAGTGTCGACATGTTAGTCTTGATTTATTTATGTGACAATTTACAAGACACTAAATCGTGGTGTGCCGTCAGGGCCAGCAAGGCCTTCTCTGCTGCCTAAACTCACTGACTTACGTTGTAATACTTTCCCATTAATCTTTTTACATTATTCCCAATCATCTGTTTTCTTCATTTCATAGCGTGTCTCTGGGCTGTGGTGCTTCCAGCAGTCTATGTTTATATTAGAGCTTTTTTCCAATCATATTTCAGCTGTCATATGTTGCCAGGGTCAAAGAAATCTGCCCTGAGGCCTTCAGAATCAAAAGTGCAGGCGTCTGTTGCTTAATATGCATTGCAATGAAACTGTTGCTTTAACCAATCAGATTTAAAGTTGGTGGTCCCAGGGCCAGCGAGCTGGCCTACGATGCCGTCAGTACTTTCACGTCCTCTGATTGGATGGTCAGAGAGCTTAGCCAAAGCTAGCGGTTCCTGTCTGTAGCAACCTGCACAAGCTAAAACTTAATCGTAAAAGTATTGGTTTTGTTTTGTTTTTTTAAGTTAAGCAAGCGGACATTCTCAGCCTTAAAGCGAATTAAAACTTATGCAACAAACACGGCTGGACAGACCCGAGTTTCAGCATCAGCTTCTATAGTGATAGAACAGGACTTATTGTTGGAAGTGAAACGCACGGATTACCTGCTTAACAGAGTGATTGAACTGTTTATGATGAAAGAAAGAAGGATGGAGTTTGTGTTCAAATAATCACAAGTTTTGGTAAAATATATATTCTTGTCATTTTATTGGGTTGATATTGATGCTCCTGCTAGATGTGATGTATGTGGTGCAGCTGTGGCTGCAGTGAAAGGAGACTTGTTGAATAGTTTTAACTGGGTTTCTTGCTTTAGTGATGGCATTCATTCTCACTACATTAGACACCTGTCTGCAATACAACATCCTGCTGTTTTGCCATTCTGCATAATACTGATGGTTTCTATAGCCGTGGCGTCATAATGATGGTGTTAAGAGGTGGTTTGATTCAGGCAGGATGCCACTGAAGGCCTAAAATGCACGGCCCGTCACTGACACTAAACAACAAACAAGATTGAAGAATTTTCAAATGTATATGAAAAAGCCAGTTTACACAACAGAAATGTCCTATAATGAAGAATACAGAATGATGTGTCTTTAGTGAATCTTGTCAGAACAAAAATCATTAAAAACTTACTTCACTATGTTACCTTTATATAACCACAACCCACTTGGATCCTTTGTTGTTAAACAGCACATGTCTTAGTGTCAGGTTGCTCTGACTTGTTGGCCTTGCAGCTACATAACTGTGTAAATGGCAGTTTTATTTACTACATCAAGTGCATATGTGTGACATTCTGATTTCTGATTTTGATTATCTATGTTTCGGTTTATTGTGATGTAGGAACTGAAATAACTTTGTGTTGTGAGGTGCAGGTTTGCTCTCTCTGCACTCCGTGTAAACCAGTCACGTTGCAGATATTGCAGTTTCCATCCATGACTGTCCAGACTCATATTATATATCTATGGAATACTTTGATGTATTTAAGTTCACTGAGAGAAATAAAAAGCAGAATCATAGTCCTTGAATGTTTTTCGGCCCAAAAAGCTGATTTTGTGTGAGTTGTGAAATATATTCACAATATCTCCTGCTGTTCCTGAGTTATGCTGTTGAATAATGGCTGGAAAAGTTTTCTTACATAACAGTATGACATCAAAGCGAATTAGTCTGTTGACCTTTTGGATGTATAATGTCCTCGCGTGGTCATTTTATTCTATCGTTTGAGTGAGTTCTTGAGATATGGCCTAAACATTTTATTTGTTTTTGCAAGGTCACAGTGATCTTTCTGCACCAAATTCTAATTGATTCATTCTTGACTCTAAGTGGATGTTTGTGCCAAATCTGATTAAATGACCTCCAGGCATCCCAGGTGTAATACGTTCACAAGAATGGGATTGTTGGACACAAGCACAGAGGGACAAAAACTACTGAATACTATGAAAACCAATTTAAATCAGTAAGTTACAGTGTTAGCAATGTGCACTATTCGTCCCTCCTCCCTAACAGCGTGCAGTCCTCCGTGTCGTGCAGTACGAGTGACTCACCCTGGTACGCTGCCCAGGCTCCTGGCCTGCAGTTCATTAATGATTTGCGCCTTCAGCACCACAGGCTTCCCGGGAGCTACTTTCTCCCCCAGCAGATATCGCACAGTCGTGGAGAACTTTGACTGAGTCTTAATGACCTGAGGGGGCTGCTTGTCCACAACAAGAGAGCTGAAAGAGGCGGAAGTTACATTAATTAGGAAAAGTGCCTTCTGCTCTATATGCTGCTGTTTGTGAGTGAAGGAGAGGAAAAAGTTTGAGTTACATAAGTTTACTTTCTTTTAAAGTTTTTTTTTAAAAGATGGTACATACATGGATAAAAAAAAGCAAACAAACAAAAAAAAAAACACACAATGTGACTACCTCTGAATCAGAACCTGCAGAAGCTGCCCCAGTCTTTCCTGGAGGTCTGAGATCCGTTCCCCAATCAACATCAGCTCTTGTCTCAGGTTCCCATTCATCCCAAGCAGCTGCTCACACCTAATTTATGAAGAAAGAAAAAAAAACAACAGAGTTAGCCAAACCACTAAAACATAAAAACACGTGTGCTGATCATTTCACACAGTATCATGTGGTTATCTAAGAATTACTTAATTACTATATTTTAAAGCTTAAAGAATTATCAGACTGGTCGCATGAACAATCTGAATCCTGCGAGCCTCATAACCACAGACTCTAAAAACAAATCATATCATTAATCAGTGTGTCTCTATCATATGCATACACCCTGATTAGCCACAACATGAAAATCAATGATAAATGTTGTGACTGACGTTGATCATCTTGTTAAAATGTAATGTTCTGCTGGGAAACCTTGGTGCCGCCCACCCAAACACTGCTGCAGTAACGCTTAGCACCACCGGCCTCCCCCAGCCGGGCAATCCACCCTTCCACACTGCAAAAACTGCTCGAGGAACACAACCAAGCGTGTTCACCCGGCCTCCAAATTCCCCAAATCACTATTTAAACAAGAATCTATGCGATGTGTCAGAACAAGACTGTCCACAGAGGTCTAACCCTACAATCCACAGAATCTAAAGAACCTTTCTGGCCTACTTTCTGGTGCCAGACACCATAGGACACCCCCATGTTCTGGAACCTTTACACATTAGACAGCTGGTTTAAATGTTGTGGTTAGTCGGTGTGTGTATTTTTGTTGAATACCTTGAGGTTTTTGGATTGTTGGTCAGACAAAACATGAAATTTGAAGACTTGGGTTCTAAGAAACTGTGACTGGCATTGTTCTTATACAAAAAAAAAACGAGCTCTCTAAATCACTGCCAGCAGTACTTTGAGACTGCTCAGTTATGAAAATGAACCAAACTAGCTTCATCAAAACCCTTTTATTCTACATGTCTACGTAAAAAATACATATATAAATAATAAAATAAAATAACACAAAATAAAATAATAATACATTTTTTTAAAAATCTGTGCTTCTGGGCACAACCATGAAGCCATTAGTGACTCATCTGTGGCCAACAGCCAAATGGCAAAAATTCAAGGGGATTATTTGGCTGAACTGCAGGTTGTGTTCACAAAAAGCAAGGGAGACAAGTATTGATGCAAATTAAAAATGTAAGTAGAAAAAAACTTTAGCAGAGTCATCTGTTTTTTTTTTTTTTTTTTTACCCCCAATACGAGTGTTAACTGTGTGTACCTGGAAAAATGTTGTACATGTTGATTCTGGATTTTTCAAATGTTTGTAAAACAAATAATCGAATTTCCCTTGTTTTTATCTATGATTTATGGTATTATAAGTGTGACACTGCACAGAGGACATTTATGAGTTCTCTTCACGTCTAGCTGTGGTTGTGCTGCTTCCATAGAGATGCAGGACTTTATACTGCAGTGGAAAATGAGTAAAAATTTGACAGGAGCAAAGAAAAGGCCCCCCAACTGGCTCAGGGTAGACAGATAGACATACATGTAAGAGTCAAAGGCTGTTATATTTGAGTGTAATACTCATTTAGGTCAGTCAAGAAAGGAACAAGCAGAGCGCAGTCTATCTCACCAGTTCTGCAGAGGGTTGAGGTTGTCGTCGAAGGGATGTCCAATGGCTGCCTTGTGCTGCTCCCACCTCCAATCCTTCAGCCTGGTGATGAGTCGACTCTGACAGTGGTCCAGACAGTCCACACACTCCTTTAGTAGCTGGAAACGCTTCTAAAACAACCAGCATTACGAGGACACACACGGTCAAAGGCCAGTTATTTGCACCACAATAAACATCACACACGCAAACTTAGAAACATCACATATCTCCAACCACACCAAAGGATTATTATGGCAAAGACTGTATACAACTCTCATGGAATTACAGTTGTTAAAATCGAGAGACATTAGACCATCATTGGGCTGCAAGATGGAGCGGTGGTTGGCACCGTTGCCTTGCAGCTAGAAGGTCGCTGATTTGCGTCCCGGTGAGGACACCAGGGATCTTTCTGTGAGGAGTTTGCATGTTCTCTACGGGTTCTCCGGCTTCCTCCGACACAGGTGAAAAACATGTTGAGGTTAACTGGTCAATCTAAATTGTCCGTAGGTGTAAATGTGAGTGTGCTTGGTTGTCTGTAAGTAATGATTTTGAAACCCAAAGAGTTTCAGTTTATAAAAGTTAATGTAGACAGACAAAGAAATGGTGAGTACCACATACCCACATGGCACTGACTGGAAAAAATCTACTCATATTTGCCATTTTAATTTGATTATTTACACAAAACAGTTTTCTGTCTGTAGAAAATTCCCAAGTTAGTTTTGTCCATGAAACAACACAACCATGGCTAGAAGGAGAGAAAACTCTGTCCCTGTCTTTTGTGCGGTACAACAGATTTATAATGCCAGAAATCCTAAAAAAAAGAAGTAATAAATAAAAGAATAGTGACTCTACATATAACTGCTATTGTATTGCTTGAATTTTAATTTGTTTCCACAATCTGTTCAAACACAGCCTGCAGTTCAGCCAAAAAGTCATTGAACTTTTGACCGATATGCTGAGTGTTTAATGGATTTACTGTTGCACCGAAGAGCACTTTTTTTTTTTTTTTTTTTTTTAACAGAATTTAGTTCCCACAAACGATATATGTTTGTCATTTTTAGCACGGAACCTGCACAATAAGATTATTTTTTGATGAAATGTCACAGACTAGTAATTTGAAGACCATCTAAAAGTTTTTAAAAAACGAAGGATTCTCTCAGTTTTTACACTTCCCAGCTTTGATAAATGGTGTGATTTAGATTTTATTTTATTTTTTAAATGACACTCCTTTCAAACCTGTTGGTGGATTTTGGTGTTTAGAGGGTTAAGTAATATCAGGCAACTAGAAAAGTAGACTTCAATAGTACAAACTCAGACCACATTAGCAGGGTAAATGCATGTGGTATATGTCTACAGTGTTTTGATTCTGTGCAGCAATAATGTCGTCAGAACTTTACAGAATAATGAGTGACTTCCCTCTAAGGTGCCAGTAATGTTTGTATTAGCCAATGGCTCACCGTGGCCATCGCTTTCACATTGAATTCCAGCTGCTGGATGTGGTTCTGGAGTTTCTGGATTTCTGTTCGTGCTGAATCCAGTCCATTCGGTTGGAATGGCCCTGTTAAAACAGCAAAGTACACAATGTGTTGAGTCTTTTCTGCTCTACAGGATACTTACATATTTACTTCAATGGTTAAAAAAATAAAATAAAATGTCTGACTGCAGCAGTGAGACATATTTTTGTAGAATAAAGTCCTTCCTGTTGGAATGGCCCTCTTAAAACAACAACTAGCACAATGTGTGCAGGATCTACAGGATCTTTACACATTTCCTTAAATGTCTCACTACAGCAGATGGATGGACAAAAAAAATAGGAGTAACTAGCTTCTTCATGGAGCACAACGGTCATGTTTCTGACAAGAAAACCAACATACTATAAGTGAACAAAGGGGAATAAAACAAGTTACTAAACTAGACAGAACAGCATTCCAACATGCCAAAACATCTAGGCTGGAAAAACCCATGGCGAGAGATGATAAACATAGATACACAAAACAGAGCAAGCTAGGTGAGGAAATACTTGAAGTGTGTCACAAAGACACAGACATCTTCCTTTTTGATCCTCTTATCCTGCATGAAGATTTCTTTCATCTATTTCTGCCCCATGTAGCCCACCATTTATCTAGAAATACTGGGTAAAATGAGAGATTCTCCAACTGAGCAATACTAAACAAACGTCACATTTAGAGTTATTTGACACGACAAAGAAAAGTGAAAATTGAACCAATTCCCAAAGTGCATCTGCAAAATGCTGCATCTATTATTACTAGTAAGCATGCAATAAACTGAGCTGAATCAATAATATAATAGAATTCATAACAAATCGTCACTTTTATAGATTGCTAAAACACCAAATAAATAAAAAATGGCAAAAAAAAATAAATGAAATACAAATAGTGGAAAAAGCAGAGAAAACTACACTCAAAGAAAACTAAACAATGAATTATTCTTAAAAAAGAGGAACTAAAATAACTCAAATTTCAGTTGGTGTTACCGTTCTTATGTAAGCTGCTGTTTCGTCACTACAGATGGGTGCAGGCGGGAAGCTCGCAGTGTTTCAGGCATGTGAACATCATAGGGTGATACTGAAGGAAAACATTTGCATGCATGTGTTACCTTGCAAACTTTCATAGTTTTGCCTCTCCCAGTTTAGCTCTTCTTGCAGCTGGTGCATTTTTTTCCGGATCTCCTGGACCTCCAGCACCTTCAGACCCAGATGCTCCACATCCTGCATGTTGTCTCTGTTTGAATACGGTTGGTACTGTGCAGAGTTGTTCTGCAAACAGGAAACTGCATTAAATACACTCACAAAGCATCAGGTCTGGTTTCAGAATTGTTTTACACATGATAGAGTAAATGAATTGTTGAAATGATCAAGAAAACAAATCAACTTGGCCAACTGCCCCCTAAGAACTAATGAGAATGTTTCTATTTTTTTGTACTCACAAATGATGCCCTGAGTTCTAAACTATGCTTCCCATGATTTGGGGCTTTGGGGATATAAACAGGAACCACAATGTTACCATGCTGATCATTTTTAAGCTTCCATTTGTTTACATTTTGCCAGATTAGCACCAGTTAACGTAAGCTGACTGTAGCCATGAATGTGTCGACACTGGAGCATTTTCATACTTAAAAAAACACAATGATTCTTAAGACTTCTGTTTAAAACAAACAAAAAAAGATAATCTGGGGAAGTTTAAGTCATATCTAGTCTTACAACACGTCTCTCGTCTGTGTGTTCTCACTGGGCAGAGTTAAGACTCCTTGACAGAACTTATTTAATAATACAAGTCATTTTTAAACGTCAGCTGATGGTTTTGCAACGAACCACAAATTGTGTCAATCTTAGTGCCAACTATTCTCTAGAACCAATGTGTTTCAGGCAGATCATTTGGGTGAAAGGCGGAAATAAACAAAAGTGAAAACTTCCTTAATGAACTGAAGGCAGTACATCAGAGTACAAACTTCTTTAGGGACTTAATAAACTAATAAAGTTGAATAATTATTAGTAATGCAACTGTCAGCCACGGTTGTTAGAAAACTATTGCCACTACACACATATTCAAGGCTGTTCTGTTACTTTGTTTGCTTAGTTTTCATCGTCTGGGTTTGAATTTCCAACAATGCAACATGAGAGGGTACAAGCTGAGCTTCTTTTTAAAACCAGATGTGACTGCTTTGTTTTGTGTCATTAAATCTGATATATACAGTCGTCCTCAAACGTATTCATACCCTCCCATTAAAGAAGGAAAAAAAATCTGTCACTGAAATAAGCTGAAATTGGCAAAAGTAATAATAAACAAAGACGTAATTATAATGACATTGCTTTTGAATTGTGGTTCAACAGAAATATTAAAACAAAAAACAAACAAACAAAAAAAACCAACAAGCATGATGGGACCCTTAAACTTATATTTTGTTTAACAACTCTTTGAGCCAATCACTGCAATCAAGTGTTTTCTGTAACTCTCAGTCAGACTTCTTCACCTGTTGACAGGTATTTTGATTTCACTGCTTATCAGCAAAGTGCTCTAATTTGTCAAAGACAGTTTTTTTTTTTCCAATTATTCTTTTTAACCACAATTCGAAAGCAATGTCATATTTCACCAAAATCTAATTTAGCAAATTTTTATTTATTATTAGTTTTTTTTCAGTTTCTAGTTATTTGAGTAACTTGTGAATTTTGCCTTTTCTTTAATGAAAGGGTACGAATACATTTGAGGACGATTGCAGTATAGATATACCAGAAACGTCAGGAACAAAACAGACAAGTTCACTAGAGGAGTTAAAACTGTCAACATACACACTGATAAACCTATAACACTAACTGCCAAAGCAGAGATTTCTAACCGGCGCTCGTATTTTGTAACTGCACCCTTGGATTCAACAGTTGCAACTTTCCCAGGCAGGTTTCAAATCTTGCAGACTTTAACTTGCAGCACAGCTACACGTTTTCCTGTTGGTCTGTGTATTCCTAATGACACGGTAACAATAGCGACAGGAAATTCAGGCCTCATCAGACCTTACAACACAGCCCATTAAAAACACATGGGATTTTAAAACAATCTTACCGAGCTGATCAGAACCCTCTCCTTCCTGAGGATGTCCCGGACCATTACTGCGAACTGTAGAGGCTGTGACTGAAACATACCCTGTAAAGCAAGCACACGTCTCATCAAATCTCCATAAAACCACCATGCAGTTACTGGTATGCAAATATGTATTCAGTCGATGCCACAGACAGTATATTCCAAGCCTGCTATTATGTTACAGCAGGTCGGTGCAAACGTATTTAAAGAAGTTTGTGTGCTCATTTTAAATTTCTCCCCATATGCAGGTTTCTATCAACCCTCTGAAGCCCAAAACCTGCTAGCAGATTTGAAACGCATTATTTTATTTTATTTTTTTTAATTGCCAAAATTACACCATATGTTCACCAAAAACTGTAAAACCTAGAGGAATTATAACATTTTCAGTTTTCCAACAGTCATTGATCTGTGGCTCCCTCAAGAAAAGTGACCATATCTTATCTTAAAATCACCATACTTCATCAAAATCACTATTTTTCATGTCTCACCCGAATATTTGCCAAAACGAGTTTCATCTAAACAAATTCTATAACAAACTATAAATTCTGCACTTCTTGCGTTACCAGGAAGAACTTAATTACTCAGATGTGACCAACAATTACAAACATTCAGCTGAACTAAGCTGAACCGCAGGCAGTGTTTACAAAGAGCAAATAGCAGACATGTTAAAGGTGTAAGTAGTAAAACATCTGCGGTACATAGATTCACCATTTTTTCCCCTCCGTATTGTTAACATCAGTGGGCGCTTGCTGACCCCAGGTTTGTACCCTTTTTGTAAAATGAATAATCATAGAAATTAAACTTTCCTTTTTCTAGAATTTATAGCATTATAGCTGTGTCATACTGTACAGAAGAGATTCTAACATTTTCTCTACCTCTACTCATGTGCAGTTTTCACAGACGTGCAAGACTTTACATTGCACCACTAAGAGAGCAAAAAAATGTCCAGAAACCACTTGGGTTCAGATGTTTAAATGATTTCAGGGAAGTTGTGTGCACTTCTTACCCTCTGCCCAACAAACACATTTCTCATGAAAATCAGCACACTTTCCAACATACAAAAAACCCCACCGTCCTCTTGTCTTGTCAGTGGTTTCTGTTAGTCAGAAAATGTATGCAATCTCTGGTGACATCTGCAAAGCAACACTGGCTTAATCCAAATCTCTACACTCAAGGAACCACAATTTTCGAAGCAAATTCCCACAAAGTGTAGTCAACTTAGAGTTGTCAAATTATCAAGTGCATCATAGCTCTAAAGCAGGTTTTCCTGAGGGAATTGCCCATAGTTCATAGTGTCATTGGAGATTCATAAACACGACTTCCCCTTTCCCAACAAAATGTACACAAACCAAACATGAACACTGCAGGGAAGAAAATCCACTGGGAAGTTTGTAAGTGACAACATCTGGCTGCTCGCTGTTGTTATTTATTGCATGTGCCATAATTTCCGGACTATAAGCAGCAACTTTTTTTCACATACTTTGAACACTCTGGCTTAAACAATGATTGATGGATTTCTACAATTTTTACGAATTTGCCCCGAGACGAAAGTGACATTGAGAGCAACAACGGAACAGAGACTGAGGAAGTGTGTGACAAAGTAATTCTGAGGCTGTTCAATTCCGACACTGAAGATGACGACTTTTTTTGGGTTTTAGTGGAAGGAAGAGAAGGAAGGAAGGAGGAAGATGAAGAGAGCGATCAATAACTTTTTTCCTTAACCAGTTGTGTTACAGGCACTGTTCGGAAAAAAACATTTACAGTACATATTTGTGTATGTTACCGGTATGTATTTAATTAAAAGTTTAAAAATCTTTCTGTGTAACATCTTTCTGTGTAAATATCTCATGTTACAACGTGGACACCTGCGGCTTATAGACAAGGGCGGCCTATATTTGTACACATGTTTTTTCTTTCCAAAGTTAGTGGGTGCGGCTTATATTCAGGTGCGCTCAATAGTCCGAAAATTATGCTAAGTAGAGTTGTTTGTATTTTCAGTCAAATGGATTTCCAGATATTATGACTTTTGGTAATTTCTTTAAATGTAGAAACACTGTAATGTCACATGCAGAGACTGATCAACTGACTCAAGTCTAAATTCTATTTCTTTTTGAAGGATGAAATTTTGTCTCTAAGCAACATGTGCTGTCAAGATAGTGTGTCCCATTCCTTATACCATCTGGAGACCTCCTGAACTCACACTCTCAAACACTCCAGCTGTGACGCCAGTTAAGTCTATGAGGGTTTAGATCTTTTGGTGGAGACCGAGATTGGACTGCTGTGTTTCTGCATTCCATCAGGGATGCAGAGAGGAACATAAATGCCATTCTAAGAGCTTCTGATTGACATAGTCCTCCTACCATGTTCCTGCTGATCTGCATCAGCTTCATCTTTTCCACGACATCGTTTTTCTGCTGAGCAATTGTTTGCAGCATGTTGATGGTTTGGTCCAACAGAATCTGAGCCGGGCTCTCTTGCTCCATCTTTTCCAGTGAAAAGTCCTCCCTGCGAGCAAACACACACACATGAATGTACATGCCTATACACAGCTATAGATCCATAAGTACAAGGTCACGTATACACATGCAACATGTCACAAGCACAGACATACATTCCTACTTGCAACCATGTGCAAGTACATGTGTACAGTATGTGAATGCGTATGTTTCCTACCATCTTTGGTTCTCAATCCAATCAGACATATAATGTCGGACTTCAATGGGGAAGGTGGCCGGAGGGTAAAGGTTGTTGACTGTCTCATCAGGCAAGCACTGCAACATCTGGTACATGTGTATCCACTGAGCCATGATCAAGCCGGGCTACAAAGTAAACACAGTCAGAGATCATTTATGTATGTCTACACAGTTTTAGTGCTTGTTAACATTAGAGTGAAACCCAGCACAGAATGTTGTAGAATAAACAACTAACTGGCCTTAAGGAATAAGGTAGGACTTATTCTAGATGCTTCTCCAGCTCCCTCCCCTGTCTGTACCACTCACTGAAGCGCTGTGTTTATGTGATTGTTTCTCAAGGTATGTCGAGTACAGCGGACAGACTTAACACAGGATTTCTGGAGAAATTGCGAGTTCCTGTGTGTATAAGCAGCGTGTACAAATCAAAGCGCCTCCAAATCAGACAACAACTACTTTACTTACACCTCAAACACTGGTTAGTGGCATCTGTTCATTCTTGTCTTTCTCACAGGATTTGTGAGGTGCATCTGGAAAACATGTACACTGCAGTTGTGGAGACTCAGAGTTAGATGATTTAAAGCTGTTAAAGCTGGCAGCAAGTTTATCCTGTGAGACTAATCAGCTGTGGAGAGAACCATTTAGTGTCAACAGTCTACTGACACTTTAACAATATAGATCGCTCAATTACTGACATGTGTAAAAAAAAAAAAAAAACACCTGCTACTCTCAGGTATTTTGATTCTCCTTTTGGCTTGTAGTTGTATGTGAAAGCTTGGATAACTCTGAGGTATGACTGTCTGACTGTAATTCTATAATCTGAGAGTGGATTCCTGTTTTATTCTTGGTCTGAGCTGATGTTCACGAAAGATGTGGTGTTGGCCCCCTTCAATTTGAGCACTAGGCCTTCAAAATTAAAAGGAGGAGACAAAAAAAATAATATTTCACAGTAAGTAATAATACTTCGTGAGCAACATAGAACAAGTCCATGAAACTGTTGTGCGTGACTGCAGCATTATGCAACATTTGGTAAACAAGACAAGTCATACGTGAATCTAGTCATTGCCTTCCCAATTCTTCAAACTGCTGCGTAGCGACTGCAAAGTGTTTCACTGTGTCTTTGAGGAAAAAATCAAACCCACATGTGATATGTACGAACAGCCAATTGAGAACATGCAAGTTGTTTGTTTCTGTTCGGGATCAGTCAGAAACACACATGTTAAGTGTGTCAGCCCCTTGGCTAAACTTTTAAAGGGAATACTTTCAAGTTTTGGGAAAAATGCTCATTTTGTTTATTCCTGAGTGTTATCGTTGTTTGAAGTTATTCTCTTGTTTTTACTGTGAAGGACTTTGGTCACCCTTTGGACTGTTGCAAAGGGCTATATCAATAAACTTTGATGTACTGATTGATTATCGATGGCCTCTAAAGTGTAAAATACTAGTTGTAGTTTTGTTGATTGTGTGAGGTTGCCAGACGTCCAGTAAAGAGGCAATGAGGTGTCTGCCTCTGGCAAAGAGACAGCCCTACCAAAAACATCCTCTAATTTCAAAATATCGATGTTACAGGAACTCCAAAAGTCCTCCATGTTTACCCGTTGTCTATATGAATTCACTACAGCAAGAGTCATGTCAGGAATTTTGTCTTTTTCCCCTAAACTTTCTTAAGCTACCAAGAATGAAGAACTTTCTTCCAAAGAAGCAGAAAATGAAAGCAGCCGAGTGGTGATTTTTGTCTCTGATGGAATTTGTGCTGCGGAAATCAACACAGCGCTAAGTTTATCCTGTTAGCTGTCATAATAGGCTAGCGGTAAATCTAACCTTTCAGGGATTTTTACCAAGAATTTATAAACAACCATCTGTTTTACCAATCGTCTCCTGAACATTATGTGAATTTCATCTGCTTTTATACAGACGGAGGAATTTATGGTACATGTAATGTGAGATCTTAGTAAAGTTGACACGACCAAAGTGAATTAGTTCAGTAAGCGAAAGAAATTACGAAAGTTGTGATTGAAACCTGAATACAACTGTTTAGACGGCAGGCAAACAGCTAATGGAGCATAAATCAACCTGATGTAGCAGATACCATTCAGCCAGCACGACTTCTGTCCTCTGCCTAAACTAATGCACTAAAATCCCCCAAAATCTATCAGATTTAATGAGGGCTACAGCGAGCGTCACAAGAAAATAAACTGAATGTCTACGGAGTTAACAACAAACTGGATTCCTGCTCTTCGACTTTGACGAAGTAAACAGAATCATCAATCACTGACACTTGATAAGTTGGCTTTATTGTTAGTCTCTATGATTTCACACTTACTGATGCATTAAATTGTGTCCAATATAATCATAGAATAATATTAGCTTTATTTGTATAGCACCTTTAAGAACAACAATTCATAAAGTGCTTTGACAAGTAAAATATCAGGCAGGACAGGGCAAGCGCAGGAAAAAACAGTAAAAGCACATGTAAATACAGACTGTAAAAAAAAAAAAAAAAAGAAAAGAAAATGTACGAAAAAGGATAGGTAGTTATAAACTGGTTAAAAGAACGACATCACACAACGGGGTTAAGAGAGAAGCTGAAGAGAAAGTCAAAGATTAAAAAAAATTAAAATAGATCAAGATCAGGAGGTTAGAAAGAAAAAAAAACACATTTTTAAATTGATAAAAGGGCAGAGATTGATAAAAGACAAATAAAAGAGAACTTTACTTGAAGGCACGTCTATAAAAGTGGGTTTGAAGAAGTGATTTAAAAGAAGTTACAGATTCCTGAGCCTTAGCTCCTCTGGCAGGTCGGTCCACAGCCGAGGGGCCCTGACAGAGAAGGCCCGGTCACCCTTAGATTTAAGCCTTGACTTTGGGACGAAGATATCTCCTAATACAACTTTAAAAGCAACAATTTAAAAACAAAAAACAAAAAAAAAACACCACAGTGTGGATAGCTGATCTTTTTTCTTTCTTTTTTTTTTCAAATCCTCCTGATCCTCACAGTGTTGTTTTGACTGGAATAGCAACTCGACAAATACTAGCATGTGCATTCAGTCATAAGAAGAAGGAATAAATACAGTCCCTGCTATCCTCCTATAGCCATCAGCAGTGTTCACATGTTCGGCTAGCTTCTATGTAAAGCTGCTTAAAAGTTAGAGGGCTGCTCAGTTTCACCCCACTGAAAATAAAGGTTCCATGTTGTGCCTCTTTTCAGCAAATTTCTAATTGTGCCTTTCAATTGTCAGTTCAAAATATTGCAAAGACGATTCCTTTAACCATGACCATAGAACTCCTGGTTCTTGTTCTGTTCTAAACAGGCTGTGTCGACTTTTGTCGCTTGATATGCAGGAGCTGCTGCATTCTCTCTCTCTGTGATTGACAGTAAACTGCACAACAGACCGTGTGTGAGACTTACACTTTCTCTCTGATCAATTATTTGACATGGAAATATCCCATAATTCACAGTACAGTTGTTTTTAACTCATGTTTCGTGAGTTTGTCACTCAACATTGTGAACAGAAAAAAACTCAATAAACTTTAGCAGTACAGAGCCACAGATTGGAAATGACTCGTAAGTGACTGCTGCTTAACATTTAGTCCTAATGAGCTGCATTTTGGTCTACATCATACTCTGTTGTCTGACAACAGAAACAGAAAATATGTAAATGACAACAGCTTTACTGGAATTTTGGCTGTGATAAAATACAGTATATGTGAGCACAGACAGCAGGAGACAGCACTGACTGAGTTTATGTTGAACTGAAGCACAACAGGAGACATGAAAACGCAGTAACCCACCCAGTCCTCATTCACTGGTTTCAATTCAGTCTTATGCTTTTAACCACCTCACCACTACCAGTTTGAACCTGTGGGGATACAAAAGTTAAATGGTAACGATAGGGGCTGGGGCTGACGAATAAACATCTTCATATCTTAACAATTTTAAGTTTACGCCTCCAAGTACACAACCACCACAAAACACAAGAAAAATGTATTTCCACTAACTGGGATGTGCAACAGGCCTGGGCAAAGTTAGATGACACGCCTGTGGTATATTTACACTGGCGTTCACAACAATCAGTCGTCTGGTTGTGCCAAGATTTCAGCCAACAGTGTATAAACAGGCAAAGAGCAGTAAAGCCCTCAGCTCGAGACGCTGTTTATATTGGCACTGCTTGGTAGCCTTGTGGTAAACACACCTCTAGCAGGAATGCAGCTAGTTGATCCTTCACCTTGTAATTGCGGCTAATCAGCTAAGAAGCAATTTCCTTGCTCCATAAATGAAACTGCACAAGACTGTGTCGAATACAGCTCCAGCACCTACGAGTTTAGTTGGTGGCTACACAAAGGCCTATTTTCCACAAAAAATGACTCAGCAACTAACACATTAGGAGGCCACAGCTGGAGCTATTCTCATGTGTATCTCTGCCTGTCAAAATGGCTTACTGTTAACATGCAGGGAGATTCTAGCAGATTAGTTTCACATACACAAAGCAGCCTTTTGCATCACGGACAGGATGCAGCAGTGTTGTCGTGTCCCTGACCCTCCGGATCCAGTATTATAGCTCTGAGCAGCATGGTTGTGATAATGGAGCTATCGCATTACATAATGAGGAAATGCTTTCCTGGACAACTGCATGGGTAACAGGGCAAGAAAGAGAAGCAATCAGCAGGGCATCTATTATTTAAATCAACATTGTTGCAGCCCATGAATAGCAGCACCTTTTGTCGGGCAACTCATTGAGGCTTTTACTCGCTGTCCACCACTCCTGACTCCTTACAAGCGTCACACTGTTACATGTTAGACGGGGATTTAGTGGAATTAACTTCTCTTTTCTAGTGAACCTTATGTCAATACAGAGGTTGGTGTTTATATCAAGTCATTCAACCCAAGTTTTTACTTTCAGTTCCATACTATCCTTCAGATCTTTTGACTTAAAATGATCAGTTGAATTAATCTACAGCTGAGCATTAAATCAACATACTAATTCAATTTAAAAAAAGAAAGAAAGAAAGAAAGAAAGAAAGAAAGAAAGAAAGAAAGAAAGAAAAAAGAAAACTAAGTAAGACTCCAGCTTCCCAGCATGCATTGAGTTGAAACTTTGGGGTTCTTCTCTTGTCGCTCGAAGAACCCATTT